ATGTGATCTGGATTGAATTAATCCGGCTTGGATCTTTAAATCACGTGAAACTACCTTGCTTTAGTGGACCCCTAAAAAAGGAAGCTAATATATGTATATAGTAATTAATAAAGAACGCGCGGTTATTAAATTTATAATTTTTGTTATTGTTATTGTACTAAAAATCAACTACGTAAGTTGAAAAATTGACTTTAGCGTTAGATATTTATTTGAGGTTGTAACGAAACCTTTTTTTATTGTAGACTAATATCTAAATAATTTCTAATAACATAACTGAGCAATACTATAATCTATTATCAATGTGCACCTTGTCTTCATGTGGTTATTTTTGTTAAATGCGTCATTTCATGATAATTAGCTTGACATTTTTAACATAAAATTAAATCAACATAAGCAATTTTGTATTATTCATTAAACATAAAACATTTTAATACTAATATCACTTCCTCTGAAAATTTCCTTAACAGACGCATGAACAAAATCTAATGGTAACTTATCCAATCCGGTTCCAATTCGTGGCATACAAATATGTTTAACACCAAGTTGCTCACAAAGACCCCTAAGACAATGCAACGAACAAATAAAATCGCCTTTTTCTGGGCGATCGTAAACACCTTCCTTGGTGATAAGATAAAAAACGTATCGACCATCTCGTCTCAAGTGGGCAACTTCTCCGATATTTTTTTGTTGAGCTTTTAGTTCTTGGACGCCACCATATTTTTTCGCAAACTGAAGAGCAATTCCAGCGCCCATACGTATGTCTTTTGAGATGCAGTGAGCAAGAGATTCGTGTGGAAGTGCATGGGTGAATAGGTCTCCTTTGATTTCTTGAAAGTTTATTAAAGAGCTTTTGTCGGTATTCATTTTGAATTAATTATCTAAAAACTCAAATTTCAAAAATCAAAAGCTAAAGCCAGAATAGCTTATTTAAATAGTCTCTTCCAATCACTTTATTTGATATATAAACATAATAAAGATAATGATGCAGAAATATATCGTGATATATACAAACTAATTGACAAATGATCTTGCACGCTAGAATTATCATTAAAAAAAATCTATTCAATTGAAGACAAGCAAGCTATTTTACTGGAAATTTTATGCATGCTTCACCACTAAATTTATTCGAGTTAATTGAAAAACCGGACACATTTAGATGTACAATAATTACGGGAACTGGTATCAAATTTAATTCCATAAAATTATCTTAAAATTTGAATACTCATAATTGTAGTGAATGCTTCACAATACTCATAATCGTAGTAAATGTACAAATGTAAAAAAATGGGTAGTGGAAATACAGATATCGACAGTATAATAAATGAAATCTGGAAAAGGCAAAGAAGCTGTAGATTCAGACTACTCTAAAGTGCAATTATGATCTTAGCGTTAGATATTATGGAATAACTAAAAAATGAATACTTGATCTTTATCGATAATAGCTAGTCTATATCAATATCAATTCATTACCGCTACTACCATTACTAGCTTGTTTGATAGATGTACATGTATAAGCCCAATTCGATCTTATTGAACCGGACACTCTTTAAACTCGAAATGGTCTAAATTGGATAGCAAAAAATATTTGATTAAACAAGCTCTTCGGTTAAACCAGATCTAGACAAAAAGTTCAGCCAGGTGTTTTTATTTTGCCGGTTAAAATATGATGACCAAAAAACTGCTTTAATTGTGGTACTGATACAAACCAGAGTACGTATTCTAGCTATACCGATACTTGGGCTTTATTATTGCCGTTACGTAGTCTTCTTCAATATTATGTAAATTAAAGATTTTCTCAGATACATGTACAATTTCCTTCATAAATTTGTTATTTGTTTTTACATCACTCACTTTTTTCTTCATCTCTAAGGAAAAATTATGACTGAGAGAAAAATATATCAGAAAAAGCTAAGATGAAATATTTTTAATATCTTAAAGCTTTATATTAATATAATTAGATATCACAAAATAATAAAATCGATACAGAGTAGTATCTTATATTGGTTTTATCAAAACCATGCATTGAATGTACAGAAAATTACTGGAATGTTTCAATTTTTGGATTGGGAGGCAGTATGTATACTTATTAATCGAAAAAATTCAATCCAATAATAGCCAATCAAAATAAATTGTTCAATAGTTGACAAACAATAATAACAGTATTAGTCATAATGAAGATGATCTCAAGTATAAAAAATACGTATTAGTATAATAGTACACGGTTAGCTTTGTTAAGTTCGTCGAAGTATCTAAAAAAAGTATCAATATCTAAAGAAAAAAATAACTACTGTATTCGTAAAAACTAAGAGGACGTCGAACAAAGTATGTGCAGAACAGCAACCCAACTTGGTGAGCTAAGACAGTTCCAAATGTTTGAGAGAACGAAAGTAGGTACATCCGAATAAACAAAAGAAAACAAAACTCTGAATATATTGAATTACAAATGGAATAAATAGCGAAGAATGGGTCAAGAAAAGTGTAACAGCTATACCAAAAATTTAGGAACGAAGATCAAGCTTCTAATAAATGTATAGTTCTATGATATATTGTATTGTGCAGTCATTTATGTATAAACTATAAAATTTTATTAAAGAGTTTATTGCCAAGTTGGAAAATTAAATTTATTTTTTTTTACTCAACCACTAGTACTAGATATTTATCGTTATATAACTTTAGTGCGTGTGAATAATGGCGATAGCTATAAGTAATCCTCTGTGAAACGGTACATATTCATATGTATGTATATAAAAAGAATATTTATGCGAAGAGCAGAAATCACATTAACATATAATGAGAAGACATTCGAAGCATAGCAAGCGCATCAACCATGGTGTTGTTATAGAAAGATATGCTGCATTATTTGTCTCACACGTACACAAAACGTCTGTTGAAAGTTTCGTATTTGAAAGGAGTTGTCGTTTAAGAAAGTATCGAAGTATGAACGGTACTTTTTTCAGAGCAATTTATATTTTGTTGTTGTGAATATTGTTCTAAATGATCTTTAATATTCATTTCGTAGAATGCAATTAATGTACTTGTGAGAGTTACAGAGTTTAATAATACACTGCTGAGAATGACAAAAGAAATCATCGTGTATTTTGGTTAATTAATAGTACATGTATTGACAGTGTTTATCGTTATACGTATTTATACATGTAGTGGTAGATTATCTTATCTTTCTTCTATATACATGTATATCGATATCTATGTGCCTGACTGTGTATGTGTAGCATAAGATCTTTAAATATCAAAAGATATTACTGGCTCGCAATAAGCATTGTTGAACATGTAGCGGTAGTACATGTATATTGTATATTGTGGTTATCGTTATCTTATCATTTCACATTAAATCAGTAGTTCTAGAATTCTTTTTTAAACCTGTTTTAAACTTGCTTCTTCTAATCGTGTGATCAATTTCTTTGTGTATCGATATACGTGAGAAAAATTTTATCAGACACGAAAAATGTAGAAACCTGTTTTGCTTGGCAAGTAATATCGATATTTAACTGAACATTTCGATTCTATTCTGCCAATTAGATTTGTAATTATAAATATATAAATTCTGGTTATTACAGTGCACATTTTCACTTTTGTATTTGTAATTGAAAGATCGCTAATTTCCAATATATTGAAGTTAGAACTTTGACAAAAAAATTTCTTTTGTTTATCCGATTCTATCCAACAATATTTTCTAAATTTTTAAGATACGACGAATTTTGGTTTCAATCTGATGTTTTATATTATATAGCCCATACCGATACAATTCTCTATATGTAACGGTAATAAATTGCATTTGATAAAGAACGACGAGTCCGATTTTTATTGTGCGCGTTAATTATGTATGTGGAAATGGAAATTCTTTATCTGTCACTGTAACTTTAATTCGCGAAGTTTTGATCGACATTATTAATTTATCGTTCGTGATTGTTTTCGACATTGTACAAATTTTTCAATAAAAGAGATTTAAAAATATGAGAATTCTTTAATGTGCATAGATTCTTGGTGAAAAAATTTCTTTTATCACTCGCTCTATAAATTTTAGATAGCTTAACTAGAATATCCGAAGTCACAGTTGTTCTTCATATTTTAGCATGAGTGTTGTAAAGGAGATGTTCGACGCGGAGGGTCAAAATAAGAGAAAGCACAGAAAATATTGCGTAGTGGACGAATACTAGAGCTCTCAAACGTGTGTCTGGTGCTTTCAACAAATCTGACTTACTCAATTCTCATTAACAGAATGATCAAGAGAGTCAAGCTTCGAAATCCGTATGCATGAGCTTAAATATTTAGTGTCGTTATAAATTCGTATCCACTCACACTTTCAGTCGTCGCCGTTGCTATCGCTACGTCCCAGCTTGCTCTCCTCTTCTCAATTGACGTTGCTCTCATTATTACATACTCGGGTAAAATTCTGACCTTAGAAATTGCATAGTACCCGGTACTACTCATGGTTTCATTGGTGGAGAAGGGGGGGTACTAGGGAGGATATTATTCGAGGGGATACTATAATCAGTGCTCTACGGTAATAGATACAACGGATTATTTTTTAAAAATCAATATATCGTTTTCTCCCATTTTTACAAAGAACTTCACGTTTGTTTATAACATCGTCAATATCATAATATTGTTATGTTAAAAAATGACGTCCACTTGTACACAGCTAAGCGAAATTAAAAAAGGGAGGATTCTAGTATACATGGAAACCGAAAATGTTGACCAAATCGCAAAAATTCTTGGACGTGACCCTACAACAATACGCAACTTTATTAACAAATACAAAAAGACGGGAAAAGTGAAAACTTACCGCGTTCCGGAAGACCGCCAGCTCTCAGCAACCATGAAAAACACTTACTCGTATGTGAAGCTACTGAAAAGCCACGTGCGCCATTCCGCGAAATTGTGAGTAATTTAGGTCTTAACTGCACTTTGTCAACTGCCGCAAATGTACTGCACAACTCCGGACATTATTCACGTATTGCATCAAAGAAACCCTTTATCTCAGAAATACTGCGTATGCTCATTTTAAGTGATGTGAGGAAAGTAAGCATAAAAATGCTTATTATTGGGCGAAAATTAGTTGTCGTGACGGCTTCCCAATTTCACACTCGTCTCATCAAAAAAAAAAAATTAAGAGTTTTGCGGCATCCAGGAGAGAAGTATAACAATAATTGTTTGGTATCCACTTTTAAAGTGGTCGAAAGTAATGATACTTGACGATGAAGAAGCCTTTCGTCACGACCGTTTTGAAAATGTCTGATGAATGACGAAACCTATGATGAAACCTTCTGACCAATAAAATATATACTAGCTCGTAACTCACGACGATAACTATTTTTGGAAATGAACGAATGCGCAAATACGTATCGGTATCAATAATACATGTATTGATTTTCACGAAACCTTTCGTCATGGTCACTTTGGAAATATAAGTGGCGAATGACGAATCGTCTGACGAATGACAATTTTGGCAAACTAAACCATAAAAACAATAGGTCAAGTCATCAATTTATCGGTTTATTTTTTTGCATATTTAAAATTACATGTATACACTTTTCTCGTTTTCATAAATACTGGCCAAAATTCAGCATAATTTTGATCGTCCATGACCTTCAGCCAATCAAAAACATGTACTATATTTCTAATGACGTAAATTCGGAATAGGTTAGTAACTAGTAACAAAGTGAAAACCAAGAAAAAATGGCAGATCATGTGATTCCGATCCCGATGCCGACCATCCGATCTACCCTTAAAATTATGCACCAATCAAATCACAAGATCAATGTGCAACGCAAAAATTCAAAAATAGCTTATCTTTTGTGCTTTAATATATATAGCACACTCACGCCTACCGTTATTATGCTGGATTTGGCTGGCGAAGTAAATACATATTTTTTCTCTTCTCGAAAAATTTTTTGGCCTATATTTATAATTAGGATATAGATGCTTATGATTCGCACAAGTTATTTTCTCTAATATTTTGAAAAAATGCTTGACCTCACTTGATTGCAATTTCCACTTTAAATTGCATTCCTTTGCTATTTTTTTAACTGTTTGCTTAGCGTTAGGATTGTGTAAATGTTTATTAGCTTCATAATCTTTTCGAAATATCACCATTTTCTTTGCAGGTGTGGTTAATTCAGATGTGAGAGTTAGAGCATAGGGACATTATTCAGAAGCTTTCTTTCAAATATTCGATATTTATTTTTATTTTATTTTTTTGAAGCTAAGGGTAAGACTGTATTTATTGATGAAGAAAATATTGTTTAAAAAAGATAATGGTGCATAACATCTAAAGTCATCAAACGTTTATATTTTAGAAAATGTATAAACTTCTCAGCTAATAAGTAAATCTAAAATTAATCCGTGAATATCATATTCGCGGATTAAATTTTGTATTAACTTCTTAATTGAGAAGTTTATACATTTTCTAAAATATAAACGTTTGATGACTTTAGATGTTATGCATCATTATCTTTTTAGAGTGCGCGTTTTATATCTATAACCTGATCACACGAGCCAAAATTACATGAAATTATTTTTTATATACAGTACGTAATACATGTACATTAGAATTAGATTATTTTTATAGGAGGAGAGGACAAGTAAGCGCGGTATAACAGTTCGTCTAACACAAAACGTCTTTCAGCTGCGCGTAATACTGAAAATCATAAATTCTAACATATTTTGATTTCTATGCAATAGAAGTTTCTATCGTTTCTATTTTTCAAAGACGTTGTTTTCATTCAGTCGCTGTTCCTTGCTGCATTGAGTCATTGCTTTGTCTGATTTGATTGTGAACACAAGTGACGCATGTAAAAAAGAACTATTCATTATTTGAATGACTAGCAAAAAGCGCCCTTTTATTCTTTGTTAAAGGATCACATACACAATATTAGAGATACTTCTCAAAATCAAAAAATTTGTTAATATTGCACGGTGATTTACCGTAGGTCAGTGTAATACGCTGTCTATGTGGGCGTGGATGGGAAAAATAAATTATATAGCCGTAATAGTGTATCGGTAGATTGTAAACCGATCTTTTTTTCAAAGACACCAAAGAATAGGAACACTCATCTTTATGATCTGGGGCCGAGCAGTTTCCTCCCTTGCAATGTCTTCATTGTTCTTTCGAAAATAAATCAATTTTTATCAGTTGCGTCCTCCAACAAAATTGGAAAAAATCCAATCTTGCAATTGTTTCAAGATCATCGTTCGTCGCAATGATGTAATTTTTAGCCTTAAAAATACATCTGACAATCTATAATGTCTGAAAATACCCAAAATACCGAAAAACTTTTGGCAGAAATTTCTCGCTTTGATTTCACAGAAGAAGAGAAAGCTTCCATATTCTCATACTTCATTGATCAGCCTGATAAGATATCCATTACTTTGACAGGATTATCTCGCTTCAAGGACGAAGGGAAAGTTTCCTTATTCAAAAAGTGTCTGACGTCTGGTATGTTCCCTCACAGATAGCCGTTGTTTCGTTCTCGTATAATATCGAATACTTAATCTTGTACTTTTCTTTCTTTCCCGCTTCTTATCACCCAAAAAACACATCCACGTTATCGTTGAAGTTCCCGTTGCCACCGGAGTCAACACAATGAACGTGACCTGGCTCAACTTTTAATAGCCGTTGTTTCATTCTCGTCTGCGCTGTGTCATATTTGCTAATACTTAATCTTGTGCAATTCTTAACGTCCAAAAAACACATTCACGTTATTGTTGATAGCTATTTTTTTCGATCTAATTATTTTAATACCTTTTATCTTGCTTATATAAACAGAGTTAACACCGTCTCTGAAGAGACATTTCGATGAAATCAAAACCCAAATAAAAACCCAATCAGTGCAACTAGATTAAATACGTTATGAAGTAAAGAAAACACAACTTAATACTGAGATCTCCAGGTATGTCGTTAATCTGATCTGTACAATCCTGCAAACACCGTTTAATATTTGTGTTTAGCTACCACTACGGAAACTGATAAGGGCATTTCTGTGAGAAAACACGGTACCCAGATGACCTTCCCACTTCAACTGACCGCAACGACCCGAAGAATAGTAGAAGGAAAGTTTAAAAGCCCGCCTAACGCCAAGGTTCCAGAAAAAATATTACCAAGAATATTTTATCAACGAATGCAACGCACCGCGAGCATTAAAGGATGTAATTGAGGACTCACATTCTACTCCGTTACTGGCTACTCGAAAACCAGACTTTGTATTCGTCCCAAGAGGGTGTCCTCTAAATGCATTAAATGTCGCAGCTGTTGGTGAGATCAGAAAACGCTCTGGTAATGATTTTATAAATGCAGATGTAGGACACGCGGTGTCATTTGGCGAAAAAGTACTTCAATTACAGCCTCGGAGAGCTTACGTATACGTGGTGTTGACAGATTGCAGGGTTATTTCTATCTTTAAGGTGATCCGATTCTCGTGTGAATACACAGCACCACCACATAAGTTAACTTACGAAAGCAGGGATTCCCCGCCATCTGGGTGGCGATACCTCGTAACGATTATGGAATGTTCTCCGGATGAGCCATCGTTAAATTTCGGTTTAGATACTGTCACATTGGTTCGACCCATCAATACAGGAAGGACTAGCGTTGTATATGAAGGAAAGCTTAATGATAAGATGTCTGGTGGTGAAAATAGCAAAAGGCGACGAATATTTGTCTTGTTTTGAAAGGGAAAAAAATGTACTGAAAGCTCTTTCGAGTTTGAAATCACCTCATCTTCAGACCCTCCTCCTGGACGGTGAGAGCATCCTTGTTACAACTCCTCTTTGTACGAAAGTAAATAATCTCCGAAAAGAGGATATCGGAAACATTATCAACATCCTCAAGGTTGTCCATTCAAAATTCAATCTTGTACAGTCGCCGCAAAAAGTAACGCCCGATTTGCATGTGTTACGATACACCGAAATTTAAACGTGTTTTTCACCCCTTTTTTTTGTTTTTTATACACAACATTTCATTTGTTTTTGTTTTTATAACTTTCGCCTACATTATACAATAATTATTGTTATGTAAAATATGCCACCCGCTCGAACC